ATTTAAGGAATTAAATTTGTAGATTGATATTTAGGGAAACTGGATTGGTAGGCATTTCTTCACTACTCTCGTTTTCTGGGGAATCTGATATAGAAAAACATAAACAGGAGTAAAGGATTTGAGCTAAAGGCAAAACGTGTAGGAAATTCCTCTGTAAATTTCCATTATAAAATTTACAAAAAAATTTCTTACCCTCTACTTCCAAAAACACTTCGACCACGCCCCTCCTCTCCCCAATCAGCAAAAGAACGTGCTTTTGTCAGTTGACCGCCACGAAATTCGTCGATGGCATGTCGACGATGTGATGGTGGTTCTGGTGGAACTGACCATTCTGAACGGCGATCTATCGAAGGAGGAAATTCAATGAATGGCTCACGATGTTGATAAAAAGAGTGGCGACTGCCTGTATCTGCCCCTTCATCATGATGGTAAACATCTCTAGTAGAGTGTGCTTTATGGACACGATGATGCTTTAATTATTTAAATTTAGAAAGTAGAATGTTCTCACTCAGAGATTATTTTTTAAAGATACTTTTAAAGTCCCAGTTCCATTAATTTTCAATTCCCCATTTGGCATATATTTTGTATCTCCACGACGAAGACTATCAGTCACAGAACCATAACGTGCATGTCCATTCTGGGCAGCAAAATGTCGCTCAGAATCAAAACCTCCACTTCGTCTACCTCCGCCCTCATAACTAATAGGTAAATGACGTTCTCCAAAACCATCAGAATAACCGTTGGCATAACCACTTCGACGTGAAGCTGATCTGCTTCGATATCCTCCTAAATATTATTTAAAATAAGTCAATTCTACACCCCGTTAAGTAAAAGGGTTGTCTGATATAGGTATATGCAGGAAAATACTGTAAATAATTCCCTTATCTAAATTCTAATTTTGATTAAAATGCTTAAAAAATAAAAGAGCAAAACTTTCAAAGTCCCAGTTCCATTAATTTTTAATTCCCCATTTTCCACTCATGTTAATACATTGACTTTTAGGTAATACATTGACTTTTACTTTTATATGTCAATTATAAATTTCTTAGTGTTGGTGGTCTTTAGTTTGAAAATTTAAATAAAATTTATCCTTTTCTTTACCTCCTCCACCACTTCCCCATCCTCCTCCTCCTGTTCCACCCCAAGATCCATAATGATAATCATGACCACCACTAGCCACACCACTGCTATGATATCCACGATGAACACGGCGACTTTTATGACGACGTTCCCGACGAACAACACGACGTTCAACTTCTTCTGTTCGTTTCTTTTCTTCTATTCGATGAACTGTGTGTTTAGTTGTTGGGGCCTTTTTAAGAGTTTTGAAGAAAAAAATAAGTATTTTAATAATACCTTAATTACTTCTCTTCTAACAACTTCTCTACGTTGAATTGGTGCTGGAGGAGACACTCTAACTACACTACGTTCCTAAAAAGAATAAATAGAAATAATTTTGGATGATTTTTGAGATTATTTATTGAAAATAAAGGAAAACTATAAGTGTTAATTTAAAATAAAATTAAATTGTGTGCAGAAGAGAAATAAAAAATTAGGTTCAGATTTAAGGAGAAGCTTGTGAAAAATATATTGATCTCGAGATTTGATAAATAAATGAATGTTAAAGCCCAGAATGCAGTAATGTTAGAATTTGTGTTTTTAAAAGCGATGATGTTTAGGTAGTCGGAGTTCGGATTAAGTCGGATATCAGAAGCTTTTCAAGGAATTAGAAGATTTTGAGTTGTGATCCCCCAAGATCTGACAAATCTAGTGGTAGTTTGTTCCATCCATTTAGTGTAATTCTTTCCTGTCTATAACATTTCTAGTTAACAAGCTCGAGAATACTTCATTTATAAAGCTCCTGGATAAAGAGGTTCAAAGACTTTAAGTGCAGTTTTGTGTTTACAAAGTGCAGTGTTGTGATACTTCAAGCACAATACTTGATCAAATTAATGTGCAATTAGGTAAAATATTGTGTTTGTTATTTCCAACACCTTTGTGCATTTAATAATTTTGTGTTTTTAACAATTCCCTCAAATATATTTTGATTGTTATTTTTGTGCTGATTTATTCCACCTCAAATAATTGATGTTTATTTTGACGTGAAAATGAAGAATTTTTATTTTTATTATTAGATGAAGATAAAATTTTAAGTAATTGTTGCCCTTCTCCTCCAAAATTATTTTTCTTTTTTATTCCATTTATCGAAATTAATGTTGAACGAGGTGTTGAAGAGGAATTTACACAATTATTAAATTGCCAATTTGGAGAAGAAATATCCTTAAAATATTTAATTTTTAATTTTATTAAATAAATAAACTAACACAGGGCTCCGATCGACAAAATGCCACTCAAAAGTATCAAAATCTTGTAAAAAAAGTACATAGGGAGAAAATTTACAAATAAAAAGTACGCTCAAAATTAAATTTGAAAATATTTATTCGTGATCAGATCTTTTATATTTCTCTCGTAAATTAATCTTTTCTAATAATTTCTTGTTTCAACTGAGCATTTTGTTGACATTTCAAAATTTGCTGTCACATGAAGCAAAGCTCTGACAGTCTTAACCTCAAGCGAGTTTCTTTCTTTCGTCCATTGAATGTTTGCCATTGAGAAGCGCCGCAGGCGAAAATTTTTTGAAATTTGGAGCCTAAGAAGCCAGATTTCTTCCATTTTTTGCGCCGCAGGCGAAAATTTTGAGAATTTTGGAGGTCCTTAAGCCAGATTTCTTCCATTTTTTGCGCCGCAGGCGAAAATTTTGAGAATTTTGGAGGTCCTTAAGCCAGATTTCTTCCATTTTTTGCGCCGCAGGCGAAAATTTTGAGAATTTTGGAGGTCCTTAAGCCAGATTTCTTCGTTTTTTCAAAAATGTTGATAAAAAAGTACATACTTTCAAAAAAGTACAAATTCAATTTCGGAAGTACGAAGGTCGATAAAAAAGTACAATACTTTTAAAAAAGTACGAATCGGAGCCCTGAACTAACAGTTAAACAACTTTCTGAAGAAGTTGCTGAACATTCTAATGATTCACGAAATTGTGGACGAAAATATTGTTTTTGTTGTTGATTATTATAGTAATCCTTTATTTTATTTTTCAAAAACAAATTTTGGAGATTTTGGGGATTAAATTAGATAGAAAAGAGAGAAAGAGAATAAGAAAAAAATTAATGAATAAAATTTCAAAGTATTTTTACTTTAATTAAATTAAAAATTACCGCTCGAGGTATTGGACGAGCCTAAATTGAACAAAAATATATTTGTATTGTTAAAAAAATTTTTTAAATTTTATTTGCAGCAAAACAAAAAAGCAAAGAAAAAAAAACAAAAAAAGTTTTTTAAAAAAATACTTAATTGTTGTTTGATTAGAGTAATTATTGACAAGGCAAGAAAGCAAAGGCAAGAAAAAATTAAAGCATAAATAAAAAAGTGATTTTAAGTAATAAGCATTCGGCATAATTTGTGGCATAAACTGAAAATAAAATAAATAATTAATTAACGTCAAAATTAAATTTAAAATCTCTCATTTAAAATTTACATTTACCGTTTATTCACTTATTTCTTCATCAACTTCTAGAAGTATAACGTCTATGTTCAACAGTTCTTTCAGAATGATAACTTTGTATTTCCCCACTATCAGTACTTGAAGGTAATAATTGACTCCTCTCTCCTCCTCTTTCTTCATTCAAAATTAATTGCTTTTTTCTTTTTTCTTCTTGAGGAATTATTTTCTTTTGACTTTTTTCATTAAATATTCCTCTCCCATTTCCTTCAAGTCTTTGTTTTTGGGCAGAAAATGTGTTTGGCACAAATTTGGCACAAAGAGGTTCATGAATTTGTTTATGGGATTTGGCTGCATTCTGAACAACTTCAGCCATTTGCCGAGTATGTCGTGGGGGTATTTGGGGTCTTTCTTGAGATATTTGATCAGACCTTTGCTAAAATTTTTGATTATTTTCAAAAAAATTATTTTTCTCAACTCTAATGCCCGAAGGTAAAGCAGTAGGAATATATCTTCTTGCCCTAGCATAACTAGCTGGTGCTGGGCTTGGGGCTGTTGCTCTTTGTATCCTTTCTAAACTTCGCTGAGCTGAAGGAGAACGAGCAGCAGAAGAACCACTTCTAACATATGAAACAGCACTTCGACTTCTTTGATGGTTTGTTTGCTGCTGGCGAGCTTCGAGTAGTTTAATACGACGACGAACTTCTACTCGTGGTAGTGGACCTAGTTGAACAATGGTAGAGGAATGACGTGGAAGTTGGCGATTATATTGATATTGTGAAGATGAAGCTCCTCCATTCATATCCTCATTATTATAAGTTAAATATTCTCTTTCTAAAAAATATTAGATAATTTTTGATTTTAAAGAGAGAAAATTAAAAGATAACCAATTGGTTCTTTTGATCTTATATCACTTGTATGCCGTCGAAGTCCTCCTCCAGTTTCAGCTTTCTGAGCTTTTCCTTCCGCTCTAGAAACTCGAATAACATTTGGAGCATGAGGCATAAAACCCCCAGCAGGCGGTTTTCGTATATGAGAGAATTCAGTCCTCGGTCGATGCGATCCATCAGGGGAAGGAAGAATGAGACCTGCAGTTTGTCGTCTGGCTACATCGTCGAGTGGACCTGTACCTAAAAAATATTTTTGAGAACACAATTAAAAGGAGTTTGTTTTAATTAAGGAGATGATTGGAGATTATAGAACTTTTGTTATATCAAGAAACTAACAAATTTCCTATAAAAGTAATCAAAAATTCAACTCATTTTACAAATTCACAATACAATAAATTCTCCAAAACATCAACAAATGTTTAACAAACAAATTCAATCTTTATTTGTTGTTCTCCTTGTAATCCTTGTCAATTTTGAAAACGTCTACAATGCTGCAATTTTTCAAACAAATAAAGGTCAACAAGAGAGGGAAAAATTGTCTAATCATCAAAACGATTACAAAAGGTAATAATCTTCTTAAATATCTTAAACTTTTAATTTATATATAGGTATATGAAGGGAAATATTCAACAAAAGACCTGGCTGGGAAAATTGAATTGGTCAGGGATTTCTATCGGTGTTGGAATTTACCTTATAATGTGAGTTTTTGATTGTTTTAAAGAAAAGATTTGAAAGTATTTGGAGTAAAAAATAATTTTAATTCTTTTTTAGTACTTTCATCTTGTACTTGATCAGCCGCTTCTTCTATCGAAAACGAAAAAAGCAAGAAAAGGAATTGGCATTGCTTGATAAAGTTATTGGGTCTGCAACAGAAGAAGATAAAAAGAAGAAATATGAAGAAGGAGGGAAGAAGAGGAGAGAGGAGGAAGAAAGGAAGAAGAGGGAAGCTAAAAGGAAGAGGAAAGGCCCAACTTCACTTCATATGGATTCTTCCTCTGTTTTTGAAGGAAAAGAAATTAATACAGCCATTGAAATGAACAAGGCCGAGGAAATGGAGGAGAGAAAATTTCTTTTGGAATGGCAGGTGAGAAAAGAAAGGGGGAAAGGGGATATTTTTAAGAAAAATTAATTTAGATAAAAGCAAAAGAAGAATTGATGAAGAGCCTGAAAGACTACGAGGATCCACTAAAAACTATGCGCAATGAGGCTAGTCAAGTGGTCAGTTCTTTTAAATTCTTCAAAATATTTTAACTTTTTAAATTTAGGGTTCAATGGACAGCTTAGTATTATCAGATTCTTCCCTTGCATCAACAACTCAATCATTTTCATCGGCGGATAAAGAAAAAGGAGAAACAAAAGGAGAAACAACGACAACTACTAGTCATCAAAGTAATAATCAAAGTGACGGTACTTCTGTGGATGAAAGAAGTTATTCTTCTTCTACTGAATCAGAATCTTCAGAGGCACTTTCTCCAGAAAACGATAAAGATTAGGAAAGAAAATGAACATTTTGGGAGAATTCCAATTAGGGGTAATAAAGATAATAAATTTGTTTGTGTATATTTTTTGTTGTATTAAAATCCATTCTTATATTTTTAAATAAAAGGAATAATTAAAAATATTTTTTAAATTTGTTAACTTCTTCAAAAGAAATTAGTAATTTTAATCTTTTAATAAAAAACTAACCATGTCCTCTTATTGGCGGGGATTCAGGTTCTGGTGTGAAACGTTTAGTTTCTTTCTTAAAAGTAGGTTCTCTAATTAAAGGTGCCCAACGATACTCCTCAGCATCTCCTCCTGTTTGAACAGAAAGTGGTTGTTGTGTTGGAGTGGAAGAAGTTGGCCACTTAGTATACGGTTGTTCTAATGGGGGTTGCCAACGTCTACCGAGCCTTTGAATTTCTGGTGGATGTTCTGGCTTTTCGATGAAAGATTCTCTTCTCTATTAAAAAAATTAATAATTTTAATTTTTTAAAACTATTTAAAATTACCTTCAATAAGTCAATATTGAATCTTTCTCTAATTAATCTTTCGTCGCTTGTTAAAATTTCATTTCGTTCATCAATAGTTAATCCACGTGAAAGTCTCGAATCTAAAGTAAATGTTCTTCTCCAAGTTCCTCTATTTGATTGCCCATTTGTTGCAAATTCTGGAGAAGTTAAAGATTCTTCTGCAGATATTGGACGTGTTTCAAATACTCGAACATTTTTTTGATTTTGTTGTTGTTGATAATCATCATAATCAGGTAAAGGATGTGAAGGAGGTGAAGGAAAATAATTTGAAGTAGAAGTAGATGCAACTCTAGCATGGTTTTGTTGTTGTTGTTGTAATGCACGGAACTTAAAAAAATTTTTTAATAGAAAATATGAAGCAATTTAGGGAGGGAAATATTATTTCAACAAGTCACAGAACATCAAGTTTCTAAGTATATAGGAGCTAATCTTGAAGGGAATAAGAATGGAATTGAATCTTTCCTTCAAGTAATTCTACTAAATAAACAAAACTTTCTCTTTCTACCTGCCTATCCCTTAATTCAGCTTCTCGTTGCGTTCGAAGAGCTTCTGCTTCTTTCTGCATTTGTTCTTGTCTAAGAAATTCTTCTAATCGTTCAGGATCTCTTAAATTTTTTGGTGGTGGAGGTGCTTGCTTTGGAAGGCGACTTTTCGGGTCAGGTGCTGGCCAATAAACAACTCTCCCTCCACTTGCTTCATCAAACTCTTCTTCCTCAGGATTATTGGAAGGAGATTGTTGTTCATATATTTGTGATGAAGATTGACGCGGAGTCCATCCTTGAGGGGGAGGTGGCGGTGGAGCTATTTAATTACAAGAACATTATACAAAAACAGGCAAATAGTTTATTTTGAGAGAATTGCCCCAAAATATTTTGGGGGAATTCTTTTCAAAATATTCTTCTAATAATTAATTAATTAATCTACCAGGTATTTTCCCTCCACTAGTTGAAGTCCCTGGAATATTATTCCCAACTTCCTCCAATCGAAAAAAAGGTCCATCAAAAGGTACAGATGGATAACGTCGAGGACTTTGATGTTTTCTATGTATTTCTAAATTTTTCTGCATTTGTTGAATTAAAGCTAAACGTTGTTTATCTAAATCAAAACTAATTTCTCCTCTATCCTCCCAACTTTCTCCATCAGGTTCAGTGCCGACATGATGCAGAGAATAACTACTATTCCCAGGGCTCCGATCGACAAAATGCCACTCAAAAGTATCAAAATCTTGTAAAAAAAGTACATAGGGAGAAAATTTACAAATAAAAAGTACGCTCAAAATTAAATTTGAAAATATTTATTCGTGATCAGATCTTTTATATTTCTCTCGTAAATTAATCTTTTCTAATAATTTCTTGTTTCAACTGAGCATTTTGTTGACATTTCAAAATTTGCTGTCACATGAAGCAAAGCTCTGACAGTCTTAACCTCAAGCGAGTTTCTTTCTTTCGTCCATTGAATGTTTGCCATTGAGAAGCGCCGCAGGCGAAAATTTTTTGAAATTTGGAGCCTAAGAAGCCAGATTTCTTCCATTTTTTGCGCCGCAGGCGAAAATTTTGAGAATTTTGGAGGTCCTTAAGCCAGATTTCTTCCATTTTTTGCGCCGCAGGCGAAAATTTTGAGAATTTTGGAGGTCCTTAAGCCAGATTTCTTCCATTTTTTGCGCCGCAGGCGAAAATTTTGAGAATTTTGGAGGTCCTTAAGCCAGATTTCTTCGTTTTTTCAAAAATGTTGATAAAAAAGTACATACTTTCAAAAAAGTACAAATTCAATTTCGGAAGTACGAAGGTCGATAAAAAAGTACAATACTTTTAAAAAAGTACGAATCGGAGCCCTGACTATTCCCTATTTGTTGTTTTGGACTAGAGGATGTTTGAGGAGTTTGTTTAAGACAGGATTTTGTTGGTTGCTGAAGAAAAAAAATATTTTTATAAAAAATTATTACATATAGTACGAAATGTCACGAGGTACAGGGTTTTCAATAGAAGAGAGGATAATCCTGAAAACAATATTGGGGTAAATCTCATCGCACCTAGAATATATATCAAACGAATTTCCAAAAATAGGGAGTATAACACAATTTATGAGTATAGGGGGGGGGGTCCATTCTCAAATAGAAAAAACAATTTCAATACCCCAGTAGGTGTTTCAATTCCTCTCCAAGGCTGTTGCCCCCCTCCTCCTACTCCTTCTTGTTCCATTTTTTTATTTTTTTGTAAATCTTCTTTAATATTAAACCGCCACTCGCAAATATCGGCACCGTCTTCGTCTGCAACTAAAAACAAATTGCGACGCCAAATAGGGGATCCACTATCTTCTTTTGGAAATTGTTGATCGTCAGAGAATATCTAAAATTATTTTAATTAATTAGAAATATTTTCTTTAAAAATTCTTTTGGGGAGGAATTAAACATTCCCCACACCTTTTCTCTTTCATCAATTTCTTTATTTTCGTCATCCCCAGAAGGTAAATATTCTAAATATTTAATTGTTTTTGTTTTTAATTCTTCTTTTCCTTCTTTCTTTTTAGTATTTTTCCAAAAATCCTCCCCCACCATTTGTTCAATTTTTGTTGATTTTGGGATTAATTTTGAAATATTTAAACGATCATCTTCAGAAAAGAAATAAGAACAAGTACTTGAGGATTGAATTATATTTTGATTATTTAAATGAATTTGGGTAGAATTGACCGATTGAGAGGGTTGGACAGAACGAATAATATTTAGGGGAAGTAAAGGCATTTTTATATAAAAATAGTAAAAAAGAGGAAGAAGAAAATAAAAGAAGGATGACAAATAAAGGATAAAGGAAGATGAATCAGAAAATGGTTTCTATGAGAATGAAAACGAGTGAATTATTTTTGTAGGAAGGAATTGTTTGTGATAATAAACAAAAAGAGGGTAAAAAATATAAAAATTAATTTGTTTATTTAAATTTAAAAGAATGTTTAATTTTTTTGTAAAATTAAAAAAAACATTAAATCTCGGTTTAATAAAAGTAAAACTTCCTAAAAGGATTTACTCTATTTGATTACTTTCATTTCTGATTCTTGAATGTTTTTCTGATTAAAATGAGGAAAATAAAAAAAGAATAAATATATTCTGTCTATATTTCTGTTTGTTTTGGTTTGTACAGGCTGGCCATTTTTTGTAAATAAGAAAACGATGGATTAAACTAAAAAAATTCTTTGTTTGGTTAATCTACATATAAAGACTGTGAAGAGAGAAGGGGATATTTTACTATAAGAAAAAGAGAGAAATGTGTTTGTAAATAAATATATTTTTGTATAGTAGATGTGAATCTTGAGGGATTTTTTTAGTTTCGTAAAAGTACTTTTACATTAAAAAAAGAAGATTTAAAACTTAAAAATATTCTCTGAGAAAATAAAAAAATATTATTTTAAATAAAAAACTTACAGAAATACTACTTGTTTCACTTTGCTTTTCAGAAGAACTGGCAGTAACGTTTTCGATTGAAAATTGTAAATTTTGAATAGAATAATGGTCAGAAGAACGTGAAAATTGAAAAGGAGGTGGTGGTGATGGAAGAGGAGGAGATGATACTAACTAAAAAAGCAAAAAAAAAAGTTTAAATTTTTCGAAATTTCAATTAACAAAATAAAAATTTATCAAATAAAAGGGAAATTGCCACAAATCCCTCGAAATTTTTATTTTGCTCGTACTCAACTTCGTAGCAATGTACGAGTACAAGTTTGGTGGATCTATAAAGCATTGGTTGTCGCTAGTTTTTTATTTGGAAAAAAAACAAAAAAATATTCTAACAACAAAAACACATTCAGAAAATAAAAATAAACAGGAAGAGGAGAAGGAGAAGTCTTTCTCTCATTTACTCCTTCATTTTCAAGTCAAACCAATTGAGAGTTAAAAAAGAAGAGGAGGAGGATATATTGTCTACAACGTTCTCAGTTTTAGTTTGAAAGAGAAGTGTAAACGATTTGGGGCTAAATAAAGAAAAGATTACAAGCAAAAAAAAGAGAAATTTTTTGTTTCTTTTACTTTAATTTTTTGCGCAGAAAAAATCGAATTGAGGAAAAATATTTTTAAGCTAAAGTGAATGATGGAGGAAAGAAAAAATGAAAAAAAGAAAAGTGATTTTACTTTAGTTCGTTTATATTTTTTTGTTGAGGAAAATATTTATGTAGTTAACTAAAGAGAGAGAGAAAGTTATGTGTATATGTGATCATTTCATAAAATTAACCCCCAAATAGATCATTTTTATAATTGTTAAATGGGGACAGCTAGATAGAGAGGGGGAAATTTGGGCATATCTTAATGAAGAAAAATTTGGGCCCAATTCCTTTCCATTCCATTCAAAAACCTTTTATGGTTAACCCAAAAATTATTTTTAAATTTTAAAATAATTTTGATTTTTATTTTAAATAATTTTTGAGTTTTTCTTTATTTTTAAAATTTACCTTTTCATTTGCCTGCTGCGCATTTAGTAAATTGATCATACTAGAAATTCTGTCATTTTTTTCTTTCTTTTCTTTTTCATTTAATTCTTTAATTAACTTTAAATTAAATTTAAAATTAAATAAAATTTAAATTAATTAATTTTCACTTTAGTTTTTTCATTCATTTGTTCAGTAATTGCTTCATGTAATTCACTCAAAGATTTACTTCGATGAAAGGAAGACTATTTGACAAGACGAAAATATAAGAGAGACATAACAAAATTTTAGAAATTTTTGTAAAAAAAATACCAAAAAAATTAATTTATATTTAATTTACTCCTATTAAAAATCCAAAAAATAAATTCCCGAAAAAATAATTTCCATCACCAAATATTTTAAATAAGAAGAAAAAAAGCAAAGCAAATAAGCAGAATATTTTTAATTAAAAAAAATAAAAACTAACCTTTTGAAGGTTATCAATGTTCTTAAAAATTAAAAAAAAATTTTTAGTAATTTAAAATATTTACAAAACACTAACATTACGCAATCGATCCAATTCACGTAATGAATCGTCATCAACCTTTTAAAAATTTAATTTATTTTTAATTTATTTAAATTTACTTTAGGGGGATGTGCCAATTCCCAAGGCTTTCCATCCCTATTTTTCAAAAATTTATCCAAATCTTTGTCTCTATCTGTAGCGTCTCCAAGTTTTCCTTTTGGCCGAATTCGTAATTGGTCCAAAGCTTCCAAATCGAGAAAAGAACGTTTGCCGTGTAATGAAGGAAAATCATCAATTAAATGGCGACGAGCATAATCTCGAATTGCATGAGCTATTTAAAAAATTTTTTTTTAATTTAAAGGAAAAAATAATCAAAAAAGTAACAACTATACGATAATAAAACAATTTAGTATTTAATTTAAAAAATTTCTTTTTTCCAAAAATATTTCAATTACCGGGAATGTGTGCATGAGAAGCAACTCTAGGATCTATAATTTGCATTCTAAAATGCTCTGCTGCACGTTCAGCTCTATAATCGGCAGCATCAGTTAATTTAGAACTTAAATCTTGAAGACTAGAACCAATTTGGACATCTGTCCCCTTTTAAATTAAACAAAAAAGTTTTAAAGAAAAAATTAAATTAATTAACAGGTTTTTCAGGTATTTTATAATGGGGAGTAACAATTCGAATTGCTGCTTGTTCTGTTTGAGCACGAAAAGCATCTGATCCAGCCTTTAGAAAAATATATTTAAAATAAATATTTAGTTTAAAAAATAATTTTGGAAAGACAAATCTTTCTCTAACAATTTTCAAAAAATAAACGAGTTTCTGAATTTTTAGTGAATAAAAATGTTGAATAATTCTGAATTTAATCAGAAAATACTCGAAAAATAAAACTTTATTTTAAAATATTTTTTATAAAAAATAATAAAAAAATATTTAATTTTCCCCTTTTTTCCCCTCTTCCTTTAAAATGTACTTACCACGTCCAAAGTAGCGTTTGTCTGAAAAAAATAAAAATATTTAATTTTTTTCTTTAAATTTTTGATAGATTGGAGGAGGTAAAGTTTTGTTAATTTAATTAAAAATATATTTAAAGAAAGAAAACTAAATACATATTTTAAACACTTACATGGCGAATCTGTTCCATATCACGTAAACTTTCTTCGTGTTGTTGCTAAAAATTAATTGAGAAATATTTAATATTTGTAACAATAAAATAAAACAAAAATAGTACATATTTAAACAAAATTTTATTTTTGTAAAACATTTAAGAGAAAAGTTCTTATTAATAATTTGTTAGGAAAAAATTTTTTCTCAACTTTTTTAACTTCAATTTTACATTTATATTTTTGTAAAGAAATATCGAGTTTATTAAAGAAAATAAAAAAAATTTTGGATTTAAGGACTAACCGTAGCTAGGCCTCGTTCTTCTCTCTGGGACTGTTCATAATAACGAGACTGATGGGCTGAAGCCATAATTTTAAATAAAAATTAAATATTTAAATTTAAAAAATCTTTAATTTAAATGGAAAAATATTTAATTTAAAAATATAAAAGTAAATATGTATAGCAAACAACAATGAAAGAAGTTTTTTTTATTTTAAAAAATTAAGATTAAATATGTATATAAAAAGATTAAAACTTAATTTAATTATTATTTTGTTGGAATAAACAAAAATTAATGTTTTGATTTAAAGGAACGTGCGCGTAAATGGAAATATAAATAAATATATTTGGGGAAGTCTATACATAAATATATTGACCCATTTATTCATCGAGACTGATTTGTGAAAATGAAAGATTGATTCGCGGCTGGTTTAGGAGGGGGAAAGAGCCGCCCCTTGGATAAAAACAAAAATATATTTTATTTGCAAATGGAGAACTCACACAGATGCAAATAAATAAATTACTCAATTAATATATTTTTAGTTTAGACTTTGTCGCTGGTTGTGTTTGAAAGAGATAAATACAAAGCTGACCTTGAAGAAAGTTGGAAGGATTTGAGAAGGATTTTACAAAAAAAACAGGATGGTAAGCAGTCAATTAATTAATGAAAAGTGGGAAAATGAAAGGATTTTTTGTTAATTATTTTTTAAGAAAAGAAGAAAAAAGTGATGTGTGTTTGTAAAAATAGCCAAGAAGAACAAAGACAAGTCAGCGAGAAAAAAATAAAGAAAATAAATATGTATAAGGGAGAACGAACGAATTGAATGATTAATTTTGAAATTTATTTTTCATGAAAGTAAATTAATTAATTTATTTTTAGGTACAAATTTTGTAAATTATTTTAAAAATATTTTATAAAAGTAAACATTTCTGAGAATTTTTAAAATCCATTCATTCATGTCTTCATTAAATAATATTTCCAATAAATTTTTTTATTTTTAATTTGAAAACAAAAGGATAAAAATTAAATAATTCTTTAAAATAAAAATTAAATTTAAAGGGCGGACGAAGAATAAGTTGAGGAAAAGAATAATGGACAGATAGATTGAGTAAAGAAGAAAGGAATGTAAGGGAATAATTGAGAGGAGATGCGCGAGCAGCCGCTGAAGAAACATTTTTATAAAAAATAAATGTATACCCTTTCTTTAATTTATTTTTTTTTCTGACAGTGGTTGAATATATTTTTATTTAAAGGAGGAGGAAGACCAGTTTGGCTACTACTAACTGCGTTTAGTGATCAACCATATGTTGAGTTACTACTTTTTAATTTGATACGCGTTAGGACATTAAGAGAAGTATTTTTAATTGATTTTGAAGGAATTTTAATTTAATTTAATTAGACAACAAAATATTTAAGGAATTTAATTTAATTAAAAGAATTTTTGTCGAATTATGAATAAATATTGAATAGATATCCAGTATATGCTCAAATAATTACCCTCTCTCAAATAATTAAACCCTTCCTATTAATTACCCCTCCAAAGAGAAGTTGAAACAATCCAGAATAATAATTTGAGTATATCCGGTCTAACTATAGTAAATTTATATTTATCTCAATCCCAATCATTAACGTAACTTAGGGTTTCAAAGAGTTAAGAAAAGAAACTCACTAAAATACAAAATAAATTTTTAATTATAAAAATGGCGACATTAAACACCTAAAAATATTTATTAGTTTTGATAGTAAAAATAAAATTAAATAAAAAAAGGAAAGGAAAGGAGGGGAGGGGAGGGGAACGTTTTTAGTTTTGTTTAAAAGGTATTGTGGGGAATGTGGTAGTGGTTATTATATTTTATATTTATTTATTTTTGTGTGGTTGTCCCAAAAACTCTTTAAAATTACATTAAAAATAAAAAAACCGGTTTAAAAAGAAATTCTTTAAATGAAAGGAAATGATTAAAAAAAGTTTTTGACTTGGAAAAGGTGAAAAGAAAGGAGGGAACTACTATGTCCCTAAGGCATTTTTAGTAGTTTATAGAAGCGAAAGGACAAACTAAATGCGCGATTTGAATCTTTAAATTGAAAAAAAATTAAAAATAAAGAGGAAATATTTTGGAATTGAAAAGAATAAAAGGAGGGAAATTTTGAATATAAATAGTGTGTTTTTTAATTAATTTATTACTTTTCAGAAAAAATCTTTGGTAGTTTGGATGGCGTTGAATAAAAAGAAATTAAAAATTTCTTACTTTTTTAAAATATTTTTTTAATTAAAGTTTTTTCCTTTAATATTTTTACTTTCTTTTTTCATTTAATTTTAATACTATTTGCCCGAAAGTCTGGGTTAAAAATTAAGAAATATATGTATAACCCTGAATACTCGCTAATTTTTTATTAATGCTAATAAACTTAATATACAATAGCACTTACAAAACAAAAAAATCACAGCTAACAACGAAAATGAAAAGTGAGGGTTACAAAAAAACTTGGGGTAAACAATACAATCAATATTTAGAATTTTGTTCTGACCGTTCTGTTTTCATTTTCACACTTTGGGTCGAAATTGAACGAAAGAGCATCCAAGCCTCTGGTCGACGTACATCACTGCGCCGGCGTTGTCGAACTGAAAAAAGGAGGACATTTTAGATTATAGATGAGTATCTCTTCAACTCACTTCTCCACAGTAATTCGGTGCTGAAAACACTGTAATGAGTCGTTGAGTTGGGTTGATTTCATATCCATCCTGGACCACTTGGTGCGCGCGCACAATCAGATCAATATCAAGTTGACGGCAAGAATCTAGCAGGACGTCATTACCAAATAAGTAGCTGCATCCGCGGGGACTTGGCCTCCAGCCTCTTATGGTTGGGTCGGGATCGGACCTGAAATAAAAAAGAAAGTTTTTTGACTTAAAACCAGTCTAAATACCACAGCAGATCCAATGCTAGTCGGTTTTCTCCAGGGTCATGCCATCCGCGAGGTATTTTGCGTAGCTGCTTTCTGGTCTCTAAGTGTGGCGAAAGGCCTCCGTGCATACAAAGGATACGTCCTAAAAAAGCGAATTTTCGCTGATACAACTGAAAATTTATTTCCTCACCCCCAATAATTGCCGTGACTGGCATTTGCGAAAATGCCTCGTTGAACATACGCCACAACGGGCCATGCTCGTTCCGACCAAATCTCCTTTGAATCTCTTGCCGGAAGCCGTACACAGCATTCACCGCAGCCGTTTCATGGTTTCCTCGGAGCAAAAAGAAGTTGCGCGGGTACTTGATTTTGTAGCAGAAGAGCAGTACGATCGTCTCCAGGTTTTTGGTTCCACGGTCGACGTAATCTATGAAAAGTTAATTTAATTCTATAAGGGAAACACAGCTGTCCAAACCTCCTAGGAAAAGGTAGTTTGCCGTTGGTGGGTAGCCTAGCTGATGAAAAATCCGCAATAGGTCCACATATTGTCCATGAATGTCACCGCAAACTACAACAGGCGGATTGAGCTCCAGAAGGACGGGTTGCGACTCGAAAACTTGTTGGGCCTGACGGCAAACTTCAAAAAGCACAGACGCGTCAACCTTAAAATAAATACATTTAGGGTATTATTAAACAAAAAATCTAAGCAAATAAACTCACAGCTGCGGCGAGGTCAGGGCCTTGCTTATCAATAAGATACGTCAGTAATCTGTCTATGTCCATGTTGGCCATAGAGGAACAAATTGGCGAAGCTAGCGATGAGTAACCGGAATTAAGTGGTGTCTCTCTGACGGTTTTTATATTCGAAGTTTTCTGGGTAACTGGACTTTGATAAAACAGCGGTAAGGCATTATAAAAGCCTCATTATCTTGGTTCCTTACCACCTACAACTAGTAACTACTTCTCTTCCTCTTTTCTCTACCAGTAATCGTCCAACGTCAACTACCATGCACACTGCGTCAATAAGTTCGGAGGCCAGCGTACAATCGTTCCAAGGGTCAGTTTCCATTTCATAACTTTATAAATCCGTTCTCATCTTTTTTCCTTTTTTAGCGCCACACAGGAGTTTCTTGTAGTTGCCGACATCGCTTCTGGCGGGTACGGCGCTGTTCACAAAGTCCGAGGCTCTAAGGGAGGCGTTTTTGCTCTAAAACTTGAGAAGCGTGCTCCAAAGCGTGACCACTACAAGCTGCAGATGGAGGTGAGGGTGTTGCAGGCAGCTGACAAGGCAAAGCCGGAAGAGCGACAACACTTGCCCACGCTCATTGACCATAGTGAACCGCACAGTTCAAGCAGTAGTATGTTCATTGTCATGACGCTTTTGGGCAAGTCGCTGGGAGACATAAAACGAGCGTACAGAAAGAGGATCTTCAGGTTTGTTACCTGAAGAGGTCTAATTTTTAATTTCTTCCCCTTAATATTTTTAGCCCTAACACTGCCTACTATTGTGCTATCAAGTCGGTTGATGCGATCAAGGAAATGCACGATCTTGGCTTTCTTCACCGCGACATCAAACCGGCAAATTTCGTGATCGGAGCGCCAGGGAGCAAAAACGCAAACACCGTTTACGTTGTCGACTACGGGATTGCACGGAAGTTTCTTGATGCGAAGGGGAGTATGCTGACACCACGAAGAAAGGTAAAGGAAGATAAAATCATAAGGAAATTGGTTATCTTCTTCAAATTTTCAGATAAAGTTCAAAGGCACCGTTCGTTTCGCCCCAGTGACCATGCACAAGATGGAGGAGCTTGGACGTAAAGATGACTGCGAAAGCTGGATCTATATGGTTGTGGACATGGTCAACGAGAATCGACTTCCGTGGCACATGGTTACCGACGTGGACGAAGTTGAGCGAATGAAGAGGAAGGCAATTGCTGAGCCACGAACATTGTTCAAGAGCTCCGAGGTGTGTTGATGGAACTCGGGGGTGTGCCTTTTCGCCTTTTGGCTTTCAGTTTTGGTTTTTTTAAATCTGTTTCGGCACGCCCCTAATAGACTTTTAAGTCGATATAATCTCTTGTTTGTTTTTTTTAACAGGAAAGCGAGTTCTGTGAGGTGATCACATACTTGAATGGACTGCACTATGTGGACAAAATAGACTACCACTGGATTCGCGAAATGGTCAGGCGTGTGGCGAAACGACGGAATTGCAATTTGAGGGAACCTTATGATTGGCAAAAGAAGAACACTCATAGCAGAACGGTGTCCAGATAAAAATCTTGTGTGTATATTGGATCTTCTTTTCTCTGATTTCTTGTACATTATTAATTGTATGTATTTGCCTATCCATAAATATGTATAATATTTGTAATTTATTTTTGATTAAGATAAAGATGTATTTTTTTCCTTGTTTAATTTAAAAATTGGGAGCTGACGATCAGTGGGAATTTAAAATTGTAAATAAAATAGTAATCCAATCAGTAAATTGCATCTCTTTTATTATTTTTTCAAATATAGGGGGAAATATTTTAGGGGGAATATTATTTAAGGGGGAGTACTACTTCAGGGGGAGTACTATTTCAAGAAATGCGGTATTTTATTTTAAAATTAAAACACAAAAAAAAATAAATATTTTTTATTCAATTTTTCTCAATATTTTAATTGAAGAATGTCTTTCATCGGCCATTCTATCAAATAACCCAATGTGTGCATTTCTTAGTGCTCTAATAAGTCCATTTAATCCATTATCTCCTTGTCCACTTAATCTAAATCTGTAATCATCTACTAAATGCTCAAATTTTGTTTTTGGATTTTGTCGAGACCAAAACTAAAATAATAAAATATTTTTTATTTACGGCAAAGCGTTTTTGCCTACAACCCCCAAAATTCTCAAAAGAAATCTGGCTCCTTGGTCTTCCAAATTTCAAAAAAATCTTCGCCTGTGGCAATAAAAATCAGAATTTTTGGCGCCTTCAGTCCAAAATTCGGCCTTCAGGTTTCCCTATCCTCCCCCCCCCCTTCTCCGAGAATTTTATATTTTTGTAAAAGGCAGTCTAATTATTAATTAAACTCGCCCTATGATTTCTATTTTTTAACATCACTAGCGGGGTAGGGCGGCCTTCGGCCGCCCCACCTCGCTAGCAAAGCAAATCAAAATCCTCTCAACCTCTTGGATGAATTCTTTCCTTTCTTAAACAACTAACAAAACATCTAAAGCCATTTACTCAAATATGAAAATTATCGGGCTATATTTTTCGTTACCCTACCCCTTTCTTAAAACAATGGGCTAACAGTTTAATCAATAAGCAAATTCCTATTAAAAAGAACAATTTCAAAATACAATATTACATTAACATAATAATTATCATTTGGATTTCACAGCACATTAATCTTTTTTCACTGTATCCTTCTTATGTTTAACTGGTGTTGTGAGGAGTTTTGAAACTGGTTTCTTATTATTCACGAATTCCATATCATCAACTTGAACTTTTACATGCAGGCATTGATCTAAATTTAAAAAAATATATAAGAAAAGTAATTAGGTAAATTAACTTTACCTTCAATCACAACAAAGCCTTTTTTGATTTCAATCTCCTCACCAGGTGCAAACTCGATGAATTTGTCTTTTTCTTTGTTCCCTAACACATTAAGATCTGCCCGCTTGTTGTCATCATCCGCAATAATTGCACAGAAATTCTCTTCAATATTAAAAAAAGTAGAGGCCAACACACAATTAAAACCTAAAAGTAATAATTTAACTTGCATTATCGCATAACTAACTATAAGTCCCTCCTGAATCCATTTCTTTAAAGGTCGCAACTTTTTTGACTGGAATTCCTTGAGATTTAATAATCGTTGCCGACGTAACAACAAATTCATAATCCAAAAACGTATTGTAAATTTTTTTCCCATCAAAGCGCTTTACATCAAACGCTTGTATCTTTAACAGGTTTAAATCGACGACCTAAATCGAAAATTAAAACTTTTGATTGTTAAACTCACACTTCCTTCCTGACACAGCTCTACAAAAACACCATATTTCCCAACTACAGTTGCAAAAGCAGTGACCACAAAAATTTGACCAGTGCTGCATTTCATTAAAACTGTAGTTTTTGCTTTTGATTTACAAATCTTAGCCACAATCCCACAACAATACCTAAAAGTATTTTTTATTTCTAAAGACATCAAAAAACTAACCCCATAAAAGTTCCTGGCGGCTGTACTTCCAACTCATTACAGGTAGAAAGCTTCATTGCAATAGGAGCTAAAAGAGCGGGCTAGCGAAGAGGAATGCCTTCTACTAAGGAGTTCCTCTAGGCTATTCCGCCTGCTTCATATTCAACCTGTTCCATCATTTAGCCAGTTTCAATATTCCGCCAGCTTCATATTCAACCTTTTTCACAATTTCTCCTTTTTCTATATTCCGCCTGATTCATACCTAGCACTTGACAAATGAACGTTGACGTCTAGCACTTCAAATGAACGTTGACGTCTAGCATTTCAAATGAACGTTAACGCCTAGAACTTGACAAATGAACGTTGACGCCTAGCACTTGACAAATGAACGTTGACGTCTAGCACTTCAAATGAACGTTGACGTCTAGCACTTCAAATGAACGTTGACGTCTAGCATTTCAAATGAACGTTGACGCCTAGCACTTGACAAATGAACGTTGACGCCTAGCACTTGACAAATGAACGTTGACGTCTAGCACTTCAAATGAACGTTGACGCCTAGCACTTGACAAATGAACGTTGACGTCTAGCACTTGACAAATGAACGTTGACGTCTAGCACCACTTCAAATAAACGTTGACGTCTAGCACTTGACAAATGAACGTTGACGTCTAGCACTTGACAAATGAACGTTGACGCCTAGAACTTGACAAATGAACGTTGACGTCTAGCACTTGACAAATGAACGTTGACGTCTAGCACCACTTCAAATAAACGTTGACGTCTAGCACTTGACAAATGAACGTTGACGTCTAGCACTTGACAAATGAACGTTGACGCCTAGAACTTGACAAATGAACGTTGACGTCTAGCACTTGACAAATGAACGTTGACGTCTAGCACCACTTCAAATAAACGTTGACGTCTAGCACTTGACAAATGAACGTTGACGTCTAGCACCACTTCAAATAAACGTTGACGCCTAGCTCAAGAGGACAGGACTCCAGCAAACGTTGACGTAGAACAGAGCACAGCAAAGTTGAGAATGTGTTGGTAGCAGTTGAGGACTGATCAAAATACCCTGCTTTTATACTATATTCTTACCCTCACACCCTAATTCAACTGGCAACGCTTTACTATAAAAGCCCCATTTCCTCACTCCCCCAAATCATTTTACTATAAAAGCCCACTTGTCTATAAAAGGACAGACAAACAGACACACAAACCCTTCTCAATTATATAATTAGATTATTGCCCTGTCTCTGTCCTTATTAATTTCAATTTTTGGTGCTATTGTTGTTGTTATTATTAATTGTTTTTTATTGGAAGCTAAATCATTATTATTATTAATTGTTATTGCTGTTGTTGTTTGTGTAGCCCATAAAGGTTTTGAAATTTTTGAAGGAATTAATAAATTAATTAAATCAACATCCTCATTTTCTTTTTTATTATTTTCAAAAAATTCTTCTTCTTCTTTTTGTTGTTGTTGTTTATTTGTTTCTTCATTTAATTTACTTAAAAGTTTATCAAATTCTTCTTGTTCTCTTTTACGATAATCATTTTCATTTAAAGAATTATTATTTAAATTTTCTGCTGAATTAGAATTAAATTGGTGATAATCAATTAATGTTCTGAAAAGGTATAAAATAAATTTGAGATAATTTTTTAAAAAAATATTTCGGACAATTTAAATAAAATAAAAACAAAAAATAAATTAAAAAGAAAATATTCTTCAACAATTCAAAAATTGCCTCTCTTGTTGATCACCATTTCCTCCTCCAATTCCTCCTTCTCCACTAGCTAGTAAAGAGAAAAGTCTTGTATTTACAGTACGTAATTCTGACCGTTTTGGAAAATCAGAATTTATTCTTCTACTTTCCCCAAAATTATTTTCATTTTCTTCTTTTATATAATGAAGATTTTCTGTTTGTTGTTTATTTTGTTTTCTCTGTATTTCTTCAACAATTGGATTTGTCTAAAAAAATAAATTTAAAAAAAAAGAATTATTTTTAGATATAAATTACCTCAATCTCTATTTTTTCTTCTTTGTTATTTTCATTTAAACGATTTTCCAACCTTCGTGATATTTCATTTTCCATTAATTTTAAAAATTCTTCTTTATATTTTTCAGAAATATTGACAGATTGTAAAAATGTTGGGAAATCGAGGGTTGTTGAAAGTTGGGGAGATTGAGTTGATGAAGTAGAAAATAAATTGGTTGTTGTTGTTGTTGTACTTTCTGGTGAAGAAGGAGAAGAAAAATAATTGGTAGAAGGTGAAGTTGAAGAAGAAGAAGATTTTTCTTCTTCAAAATTATTTGGAGAAACAGAACTACTTTCTTCTGTTGAAACAAAGGAATTTCTATTAATACTTTTTGTTGTAAATACTAATTCATTTTGAGTACTAATTTGTTTTTCCAATAAAGAATTTAAACTTGAATTTAATGGAAATGCTTGACTTTGAGACATTGGAGTTGCTGATAAACGGAATATTGAAGGTAATTGTGCTGGATTTGGAAGTAAAAGAATGTTTGAATGAATTTGTGATTGAAGGAGTGTAGGGGGAGGTGGGGGATTTCTAAATGTTAAATAGAATGAGAGAGAGAGAATAAATTTAAAAAATATTTACCTTAAATTATTTAATGGAAAAAATAAAGGATTTATTGGGGGAGAAGGAGGAGAATAATTTGAAATTTCTTCTTTTATTCCCTCAGATTTTTGTAATTGATAAAGGAATTTATTTAAAGGTTTTTCTTGAGGAAATTCTTTATTTCCTGATGAAGATTGTTGACAATTAATAAAAATTCGTAAAAATTGAAATAAAGAGGAGAAAAATATTAAAAGTTGAAAAATTGTTTTTTGTAATTTAAACATTTTTTTAAAGGGGAGGTTAAGAATAAAGAAAGAATTGAATATATAATTTGTAAAAGTATTATCTAAAAATTATACATATATGTACATTAGAATCCCAAAGTGTTCTATATTCTTGAAAAAAATTTTGGTCTTGGATATTTTTAATAAATAAAAAGGACAGAATATATTTATCAGACCTACAAAAGTTACTTTTAAGAAAAATTTTTTGTTAAAATTTTCTAAATTCTTTCATTAAAGTTTTTATTTAATTTAACTATAAAAAATTATAAAGTAATTATTTTTATTTAACTTGTTATAAAAATAATCTTAAAAAACAAAACATTTATTTTATAAATGATTGGACAAGCAAAAATTTATTTATTTACAATCAATGAAGCACATAATATTTATTTAATCATAAGAGGAAATCTTCTTTTATCGAAAATAGCCACAAAATGGTGACCAATGAGCGAAAGCAGATAAAACAAAAATAATTATCAATCCAATTTGGCGAAAGTAATTTTTTGTTAGAAGTAACAAAAATATTAATTAAATCCTTTCCATTCTTTGAAGGAAAAAAACAAAGCCAATTTAACGAAAATTTATACGCAGACATTCATGCTTTATTATTCCTACCGAATATTTAAAAACTTAAGTTTTGTTTATGTATTTATTAAAAATTTTGATTCAGGAAATGAAAATTTCCCGAGAAACTAGATGTAAATTGAAATCATGTTCTTTAGGCTAAAATTTTTAAAGTTTTTTCAATGCAAAAACAACAATATTTATCATCTCTAATTTTATGTCAAAAATCTGGACGGAATCACACAGATTTGTTAAAAGTAAGAAAAATTTCTAACAAAAACTTATTTATTAAATTATATTTTAATCAAAAAATATAATTGTTCTTTTTTAAATTCGCTAAAAAATGCATAAGTAGCACCATTAGAATCCAAATCAAAATTAAAGAAAGTAAACCAAAAAATAAGCAAGATTTTAGAGATCAACATTTTATTTAAGTACATACTATATTAAATGTTCGAATAGAGACGAAAAGTATATTTGCAGAAGATAAAATTAAGTAAAAACTTCTCGATTCAAAAATTTTTTAAAAGAAATTCAACGATCATCAAAATTTTTTGCTCAAAAATTCAGAAAGAGAAGCATTTTGAATAAAAAAATTGAATAGAAAAATAAATATACACTAAATAGAGAGAAGGGATTTTCTGTTTGAACAAATTTTTTATGGAATTTTGCAAAAAAAAAAAATTTGAGTAAGTTTAATAAAACAAAACGGCAAATTTCACTCGTCTTTTGATGAGTGAAATTTTAGAATTAAAGTTTCAATATTGACAAAAAAGAAAAGAAAACCCCACTCTCTAAATAATATAAAATAATATATAATAACATTTTTTGGGTAGATTATTGAATTGAATAAAGTCTATCTCTATTTTTTTATAATTATTTTATTTAAAATCCTAATTCTTCCTCAACTTATCTATATAATCGTCAGCATATTCCTTGAGAACATCCTTAATACAGTCAACATCCATAGAATCAAAATTAGATGACAAAGACTCTTTTGTAAGAAATTCAGTTACAAGATCCAAAGAAGTTTTTGACGGATCGCACCCAAATTCTTGAAGAAATTCGTTGAAAGCTACAATCATACGATGAGTATTTGAACTGAAATTTAATAAAAATATTTTTTTAATTTTAATGTCCGACGAAGATTATTTATAAATGGAGCAAATTAAGGGTTCTTTCATAAAAGTCGAAAAACAGAGCAAATATGAGAATGAAGTAAGCTAATGAAAAGGGAGCCAGACCGAAATTAATGTTAAAAAGGAAAAGCCCAAACATTGTAACAATTAAAAATGAAAACACCTTTCACTGTTAACGTCGGTAGTGTTATTCAATAAAATCGGAATCTCAGCATCGCCATTAAGATGAACTTCATTTTCTTTCCCAGATAAAAGACGACGCTAAACAATTTTAATTAATTTTATAAAACGAATAACAAACCTTTCGAGATCTATGCGATTTAACCGAATTCGGCTGAAACAAACCACCACCATCATTCTACAATAAAAATATTAAAGTTGAAAGAAAAAAATAATAACCTTCTCGGGAGTAAAAGCCTTTGGTCCTTGAGGATAAGTTTCTTCCAGAAATTCAATGTCAGAATCATAAGCACCATTACAAGTAACAGTATCATCATTTTGTTCCCATGACGGAGGAGATAAAGTGTCACATCTTTCTCTAAAAAATATCTCTGAAATTTTAAAAGTTCAAAATAAAAAAACAAACAATCTACGCTTCGAGCAAGTAGAGTTCTGAAAATTTTCGCCAATAAAATGAATGTCATTTGGAACAGAAGCAGGAGAGTTTGATGGCTTGGCAACTTCCAAAAGACGAGCAATTGCAGCATTTAATTGAGCTTTTTTACTGACGACTTCCTCAATCTAAATTTTAAATAAGCTAAAGTTTAGATAACAAACTTAAAAAAAGTTACATGAGCGATTATATTTGTTGCATTATCTCCAGAAAGGTCAGTTTGACAAGTGACGTCATTTAACTAAATTTAAATAAAAATGCATAAATAATAAAATTAGGATGCCTTTGAGAAAATATGAAGTGTTCAATTTTAATCTTAAATTTGACAAAAAAAATTCCAAAAAATTTAGGTGATAGGAAGGGAATAAATTAAATTTTAGTAAAATTTTTATTCTCTGAAATTGATTACCGATTTTTGAAGTAAATTGTTAAACTCGAGAAAAAATTCTTCGGCCTCAGTTCTATATCGCTTGTTCTCCAGAATTAAATCAGTAGCTCTTTCGAGAATTAATGGAAGAACATTATTCTCTTTGATAAGTTGCTCATTAACTTCCCTTTCTTTGGCAAGAAAACATTGGCGTCACAACATAATTTTTGCTTTACTTTAATATCATTAGAAAGCTCAGTTATTTTATTTGTCAATAAAATATTATTCTTCTTCTCGGCTTCATAACGATCCCCAACCCTTTTAGTAGCTTTCAACACTTCGGATCTGCAATGATTCTTCCACGTTTCTTTCGTAACTTTAAGTTCCTTCTTCAATTGTTCACAACCTGGACATTTGGGAACTCCGTCATTTGAGGCCGAGTCAGATGGCGTCTTAAAAATTTATTTGTTTTAAATTAAAAATATAAAATACATTAGACTGTATTTGAGGACTATTCGGTGAAGCAAAGCTAACGGTTTTCGACATATTCACATTACTTGAAGTGCCTAATTAAAAATATATTTAAAGAAAATGAAAGAAAAATAACTTACTAGTGCACTTTAACGATGAATTACTAGTTTCCATCCAAATAAACGATTTAAAAAGTAAATTGAGGAGATAACTATATTTTCAATAAAAGTAACTGAAATAAATCAAATAGAAGATGTTCAAAATAATTAAGGTAAAAAAATAAAAAAAAATAACTCGACGAAATGGTTGGAACCGTTTGATTAAAATAGAGATAAAGACAAAAGATAATACAAAAGATTTACCAATAAAAAGTAAAAAAGCTTAATAGATTGCAAAAAAAAACAAAAAAAACTAAAAAATTGATTGAATAAACTAAAATACATAAAGCCAATTCTATTTTCATCAATTTCGCCAAAATGCACCTGATTAAAATAACACACTATTTCTCATTCCCTTTTGCTCTTTTTAAAAATCTTCTAATTGAGTCTTAGACTTTAGAGTATGAAACTAGATAACCTTATTACATTTTATTGTTAATGATCTTTTCTTTTTCTTGAGATGAATCATTTTTGTTGTTGTTCATCTTGCAAACCTCGATATAAAAGAGTTGTTGATCATATTTATCCCCGAATTCCTCCATATGATGTGCCAGTTAGTGGAAATATGCAAAAATTAACATTTTATTCTATATTTCATCCTGAAAAGTTAAATCGAATTGGTATCTATCTTGTTCAAAGACTTTCACGAGATCTTGGTCGACAAAAAGTTGCTGATGTCAAGGTTGACTTTAAATATTTTTAAATTAAATTTTTAATTCAAGGTTGCCGTTGATGCAATTGATCAATTATTAGAAAGTTGTCATGGCTCTCCTTCAATTAATCAATTTATTGAAAGTTTTCTTTTAATGGTTCAACGACTTTTGGAAACAAATGACCCTCAAATGGAAAAATTAGCTACTGATTTATTTGTTAGATTTTCTGGAATTGAGGAGGATTCACCTTCTTATCATCGCCAATATGATTTTTTTATTTCAAAATTTTCTTCAATGTGTCATGCGAATCGCGGTGATTATGTGCGCTCACAACGATTTAATGGGCTTCGAGGTCTTAGAGGTTAATTAATATTGTTACATTTATTTTTAATTATCTTTGTAAATTTCTATTAACATTTTTCGATATTAGGTGTTATTTGGAAATCTGCAAGTGATGATTTACAAGCTAACATTTGGGAGAAACAACATATGAACAAAATTATTCCTTCAATTCTTTTTAATTTCCAGGATGAAAATGGTTAGTTTCTGACGTGTTTGACTAATTTATTCAAACTTAAGACGAAGTTGATGACCAACGTGTTGATCATACTACCGCAATGCCATTTCATCCTCAAGAACAAAATGGATCTATTGCTGAAGCCGAACCAAGAAATTTAGCACTTCAATGTCTTCGAGAACTTTTCCAAAAATGTAGTTTTGGATCTCTCAAGTTAATTTTCATATTTAATTCTTTTTATTAGGAAAATTAGATCTGTACTCGAACCAGTCTTTAGACATTTTGATTTATACAATAAATGGGATCCTCCGCCAACTTTTGCTATTAAAACTTTCAAGGCTATTCTTTACAGCATTCAATCACAAAATTCTTATTTTGTTATACAGGTTTTTTTTATTTTTTACTCTTGTTTAAGATATTTCTTAAAGGATCTTATTAATCAGCTTGAACAAGTTCAAAATGGAGAATCTAATGTTCGTGTTGGAATGGCTACAGTTTTGGCAAATATTGTCAGCATTGCTGCAACGAGTATTGGCCCTCTTCTTTTAGCTATTTTTAATTCATTGTTAAAATTGCTTCGTTCTTCTGTTGAATTCCAACAATCAAAGCAATGTGTTGATTTGGAAAAGGAAAATTTATTTCAAAGCACATTAATCTATGCTCTTGGTGATTTTGCAAGTGCGTTACCTGATTATCAAAAAGTTGAAATTATGATGTTTACTGCTGGAAGTATTCCAAATGATGAAAGCACTGGTTTTTATATTTTATTTTACTAGATAATTATCTTTTTTTAGTGAATCGTAAAATGGAACAGTTATGTGAACCATTTCTGAAAAAGGAAGTGTTAAAAATGTTTAGAGACAAAAATCAACGGCAACTTTCTGAACAACAGAATAGTTTCGATGCTGTTTCTATAGGAAGTAGTAGTGTAGATTGGAGTCCATCTGATACAGAACCACATAGCAGAAGGAATACAGTTCTTAGTGGACAAAGTAACGTTTTTAGTAATTTTTACTGATTTTTGTATTTTTTTAGAAAACCTCAATGTTGAGCAACTTCGAATTCTTGCCAATACTCCTCTGAATGTTGCTGAAGAGGAAAGACGGGATCAGGCATGAGAGCATCTTTTTTTAACTTAAATAATATAAATTATTTTTTAGGAAAAGAGTCGAGAAGTGTTAAAAATGTTTAGAGACAAAAATCAACAGCAACTTTCTGAACTATTCAGACATCATCAACGTCATTGTTCTTGCTCTTCTACAGGCCCTCCTTGTCCACATGGAAATGGTGAAAGTCAAGAAACATTAGCACAAACATTGCAGCGATTAACACTTAGACATGATGAAGTAAGAAAAATAAAATGTTTCTTAATTAAAAACTGTTTTTAGAAAACACGAATTCGAATGTTTGGCCAACAAGCTCCGCCTGCAACTATTTTTGACATAAAATTCCCTTCCTCATTTGAATTTTAAAATATATTTTTTTTCGATCTAGTTTATTTACTTAATTAACATTCCAAATTATTGTTTTTTGTTTAAAGTGTGCAAGCCTTAATATAATTATTATTTTTTCTTGTCAATAATATTAAATAATAAAGAGTTTATTGCTTAAATTATTTCAAAACTTGAGTGTTTATCTCAACTGAATTCCTTTGACTTTTAGACAAAGAATTTTTATAGAATTTATGGATATAGATAATAATTTAAGGATTTGAAAATCTATAACTGCAAGAATGTCTTCTGCTTTTGATTATAGGAATTAATTTTTATTTCTTGAACGATGAATGACACTCTCTTTTCAATTAAAACTTTCAATTATGTTATCTCAAAACCTGGCTTTCAACAAACAATATCTTATGATTTTCAAATTCCATTGGCTGAAAATTCGCTAGGATCTGATTTCTTTGGACATTTATTTGCAAAACAGAAAGTCCCTTTATTTGCATGTGAAGGCAAATTAAATTAGTTAAGTTTAATTTTTTTAATTTTTAGAAGTCGAAAATGCTTTGAATAATTTTGTATATGATGAGACAAATAAATATACTTCTTTAATTGCTGATGAATTATTAAAAGAAAAATTGGCTCAATTTGGGGATGATTCTTCAAAATTGGCTTTAGAATTAAATAATGATAAATTGGTTAATAACAGAATTATTTTTTTATTTTTTTTTATTTTTTGTAGGATGGACAACATTCAATTGGATTATTTTCCAAAGGAGAACTTTCTTTTGAGGAACAATTTCAAAAACTAATAAATAAATGTTCTACGCATCAATTAGCTAATTTAATTAAAGAAGAGACTGAAATGACAAATGATGTACTTTTAAATATTCTTTTAATAATTTTAAATATTTTCTAGGTTCGTTCAATTGTACATGCTAGAGATTTTGAATTAAATCGTCTTGAAAAAGCTTGCGAGGCAAGTCTAGCAGCTACTTCTACTCCAGATTCTGATAAATTTGATGAATATTCTCGTGAACTGTCACAGCTTAACGCGGAAATTCGTGTTAGTTTTTTCAATTAATTTTAAATTTGGGAGGGAATTCAATTCTATTTTCTCGTACAAAATTTGAGAGAGAAAATCATTAAAATCTGGCTTTGAAAATTTTTTATTTAGCGAGTAGGCGCTGATTTTTCATGCCGAATGGAAGAACTTCGTCAATATCAAAGAGAAAAATATCGTTCATTAGTTAAAAATTTGAGTCAAAATGTTGAAAATTCTCTCCTTTCAACTAAACGTCAAATTCCAGAAAAGAAAATGTCAACACCTGAACAACACAGTTCTTCACTTAATTATTCTCCTAGTTGTGGATTTCAACAACAATTTACTAATAAAAATTTAATATCTTTAAAAAAGTAATTTTTGAAAGATTTAAATTTAATTAAATCTATAATTGAAACCTTTAAGGGGTCTTTTCTGTTTTGACAAATTGATTTAGGCGTAGAAAAACTCATTAGAGTTGTAGTTTTTTATTCATAAATTTGAGGGTTCATCAAATTTAAGTCTTTAAATTTATTTCATTATAGAGGAAGAATTTTTTTGATTTCTCGAATTTTCTCTTAATTTTTCTTTTCTTCAAAATAGATTTTAAAATTTTAATTAAAAGGTCAATATCGTGTGAAGAAAAAATTTCCCAACTTTGTCTTTGTGAAAAGGGTAATAAATCATCTTTTGTTGGACGTCAATCAGAAAGTTTTTCAATATATATAGGTAAATAATATTTATTTTTATTTTAGATTTTATTTTTTAAAGGTTCTCAACTCAAAACTCGGCATAATGTTCGTCTTTTAACTTGTAATTGTTTATCTGATTTGTGTCTTTCACAAACTTTTGAAGATTTTTCTCATCGAGAAGAATTATTAGGCTCTAAACGTCTTCATCTTTTAATGAATTTATATGGAAGGGAACTTTCTGCAACAGTCTTAATTGTTGGAAGAGATCCTTTATGGCATATTAAACAAAAAACAGAATTTGCAAAACTTTGTGAACAATCAGCAGAATTACATTTTGATTCTCTTGAAGCACAATTAAAGGCTATTGAAGAACATGTAAGGAGTTTTTAAAAAAGTTTTTAAGTTTGTTCAATTATTAAATGATAATGTTATTTTTATTCAATCACGAGGAAAAACTTTTCCTTAAATTTTGGATTTTAAATGTTCCTTAAGGGTTTAGGTATTAATGCTTTGATATATATAATTTTGACAAGTACTAGGTGATTAACTTTCCTTTACCTATTTTCTTTATACGAATGACTTAAAAATTTTAATCTCCTTTCTCATTTTGTGGGGAAATGTTTAATCATTCTTCTTTTAATTATACAAATTCTAATAAAATTATTTTTAAGGTTAGATCATCAAATCGAAGTCGGCGTTTAGCTAAAAATTTAATAGGATATACTTCTCCATTCTTTCCCTATTTTTCTTCATCCCAACAAGATTTTGAGGATGATAATGAAGATGAAGGCATTTTAAAAATTGGAGATGTTTATTTAACAAAACATTCAAATCTTTCTTCTGTTCAAATTATTTTTCATTTAGTTGGAGATGATAAATTAGAAAAAGAAGAAATATCTTCAAGACATCCTTGTGTTGCTGGTCTTCATAATATTGTTAGATTATCTTCTCGTTTTGCAATTAGAAATATTTCTTTACCTCTTTTATTGGTTGATCAATTTAATGACGAGGTAAATAAAAAGAAAATATAATTATTTTTATTAAGTAAAAAAATATCTTTGGAATTTTTTTCAGAATTTTTGGTGAGACAAAAAGAAATAGTAGTACCAAAAATCTTTTTAATTTTGAACGTATTTAACTTAAACCTATTTGACTCAAATTTTTCTTAAAAATATCTTGAGAGAATTTATCTGCCTTTTCTCATAATTTTAATTTCCTTTGGGAGAAATTAGTTTTTTTCTTTTACAAGTTGCCAATTTAGTAAATTATTAATATTTTTAAAAGACAAATTAAAGATCAATTTTTACAAAAAATAATTTAAAGAAATTTTTCACTTTTTAAAGTTTTTGTCATCAGAAAATATTAATATAAATATTTGGTGTCAATCTCGTGCAGAACTTGTTTTTAAATGTTTAAAAGGGTTTTTGATGGAAGTTTGTTCAAGCGGATCAAGTTGTTCTTTAGCTGGAGGTGCTAATTCTGGACCTATCCAATCTTTACATTTTAATATTAATTTTGCCATAACTTTTTCTAAATTACTTCCAGATTCTTTCTTATTTCAACAATTGACTGATTTATTTACTTCTATTTATTATTTAGTTCCTTCTTTAAATGCTTAAATTTTCTTTTAGAATTTTCTTTTTTAAAAATCAATTATCATATGTATGTTTTTAAGCATATTTTCTAAACTTTAATATGTTTCTAATTTTGAATGAAATTTTTTTCTAAATTTTTCCTCCTTTTCGACATTTTTAATAAAATGTTTTTTTCCTTTTTTTGTTTTTTATTAATTTAAAGATTAAATAATTGTTCCCAAACATAAAATAAAAATATTTGATTGGTACACTTTTGCATAAATAAATAAATTTAATTTTTATAATTATCATTAATTTTATTACAAATTCTTTTATTATATCAAATAAAAATAAATATTTTTTACTTTTTTTGCTTTTGATGAACCCCTCAAAATTTTTAACAAAAAATTATCTTAATAAAATTAAAGATTCTTTAAATTATTTGTTGAAATAATTTAAAAATTTACAAAATTTAGTTCTACTTTATTTAAAATTGGAATTTTTTGAAAAAAATATTTTAGTAATTATTAAATCCTTTTTTAAGGATTGTGCTTTTAAGCAGATGTGTGTTTAAAAATTGTTTTTGTAGTGTTTAAAAAGCAATTATATATAAATATTTTTATTTGTTTAAAAAGAGTCAGATTTCTGCAAAAAGTAAGAAAATAGGACTGTAGAGAAATGGCCCTAATTTCTCTAATAGTAAATCAAAATTTCCTTTTTCAATCAAAATTTATTTATTTCACAAATATAAATTATATTAAGGCAAAGGTAGGAAAAGTTGCTAATGTAAAGCGAAGTACAATTAGTAAAGTAAACTGAACATAGTTGAAGGGAATGAATAAGCATATATAAAGAAAAATGTGTGGACACAAAACAACTAAGGCTAAAGTTTAGAAAAAGCTGGGAAACATTCCTTTAGATATATTTAGAAGATAAGGAGTACAAAAATGGTTTTATGGAAAATAAATAAAAATTGTAGGAAAAATAATTTTTGTAATTCCGACTTCGCGACCAATTCGCGACACTCCAGGCCAGGCTTTAATGGAAATGGTGGTGGCTGCAACAAGGGGCGTCGTGGTTGTTTCGGTTGACGTGGATCATATTCAAAGGCGTTGGTGGGTGGCGCATTACGAAGTTTATTCGGGAGAGCGGTATCGGTCCAAGTCGTTGATGCACGGGCAGGTAGGGGTGGATGCGGACCGTCCACGGCTGAGCATACATGTTCGGATGAGTTGACATGCGGGAAAAAATAGAGGGGCGATTGGTAAAGTTTGGTTCAACATTTAAGTTTACCTTCACGGGAAGATCCTTCGGAATGGTTTTAGCAATTTTCAAATTGGTTGAAATTGGAAGTAATGTCGTTGCCAGTGAAGTCTGTTGTGGGAATTGGAGTGCCGCGACCAGTTCAGTTGTTTCAGCAGGCAAGGAAGAGCAAATAATAGGTTGGTTAACGGTGTTGTTGTCAATAGGAGGATCGGTAGTTGAGTCGTTAGAATTATTGTTGTTTGGGCTGTCAGGAGTAAGTGGTTCAAATACATTGTCGTTTGTGTCCATTTTCTTGGTGGGAGAAGGTTTTTTAGGTAAAAGGCTTAGATGTTTGAGAATCGGAATGATTTCTTTATCGGTGAGGGGGGTTCTGGTGTTCCTTTTCATAAATCTAAATTAAAGTAATTAAAGAGATGAGGAAGGTCGATCTACAACGCTCGAAGGCGGATGGGAGTGAGAGGGATTACTGGTAAGTTCGATATTGGGTTGAAGGGAGGCAGTAGTGGAGCGGTTAAGTAAGCGCTTTCGATTAGACCACAAATTAGTTAGGAGGATTAGGAGTAGAAGAAAGGTAGTAACTATACTGCAAAGAATTACAGCCGAGAGTTCTGGTTCTTCCAAAAGGTAATTTCCAAGTAAGTCTAATCCAAAATAAAAAGCTGCTGTGGAAAGGAGAGAGGCAGAGGTAACGGCCAAAGATTTAGTAAGTTTTCTGAAATTGGCCTTGGGTTTAAAATTAGCGTGTTTTATAGGGGAGTACGAGTTTGATTTCTTCAAAGAAAGGGGTAGGCTTTCAGTAGTAGTTAAAAGTAGGCAAATCAGGAAGGCTATTACAGCTATAGTATGGCGAGTTCGAACTCGGGTAAGGCACCGGGAACGGATAGTATAAATCAAAAATGTGGCGGTGGCAATCAGTAAAATAAGTAGTATTAAAATAAAAGACAAAAATCCGTAGTCGAAAGTTTCTTTTTTAGGTTGGTAATTAAATTCAAGGCCTACAGCAAAAATATTTCCCATAGAAAATTCAAATAAAATAATTCTGAAATTGAGAGAAGGTAATTCGTTAAAAGGAATACGATTAAATGGTTAAATAAAATTAAAAACAAAAATATTTGGAACAAGAAAAAAAATTTTTTTTTTTTAAATTTAATGAGGTATATTGCGAAGCACGCTCCCCCCAAAGACAGTCAGTGTCGGGGAATCTTTCTGCTTCTTAATTCTAAATAATTACTTTCAACTGGTGGATTATTCAAAGGGTCAGGGATTTTATTAGTTTCAATTATGGGCGGGCTGTGTGTATCTTTTTCTTCAAACGTCTCTAAAGGAATAAGATGCTTTACCGATCGAGTGGTTATATGTCCCGATAACATCTTTATTTTAGCCGTGCTTGGGAAATCGGAAGTGTTTGTATAAATTTCTAAAATGGTCGCTAAAGGCCAGAGAGAGATGGGACAAACATCGTTGTAAACAATAACTAAGTCTCCTTCTTTGGGAAAGCGGGAAGGTGACTTTTGATTTTTATTTCTCTCTCTTAAGGAAAGGATATAGTCTGAAGTCCATTGGGTTTTAAATCGGCCAATATTTCTTTGGATTGCTTTCCAAAGTAGGGTGAGTGTTCTTTGGTTACTGGAAGGGGGTAGGAGAGAGTTTGTGATTGGTTTTTCTAAGAGCTGGGAATGCTCGTGATCAAGTGGTTTTAAAAAGTCAATCGGTCGTAAGGGACGGGGATCGGCAGGATTTGATTAATCATAGGCAATAGGCCGGGAATTAATTATAGTTTCGATTTCGGCAAGTACTGTTGTTATATGGTCGAGGGAAAATAATTTCGGAATAGCTCCAATAGAAAGGGAGCGTCTGAGGTGATATTTTATTAGGGCCACTAAACGTTCGTAGTGCCCGGATTTCCATGCTGCCAGTGGTGCTCTGAAGTCCCATTCAATATTCTTTATGCCGAATTGCGGCTCTAAAGCTTTTTGGAAGGAAGTGAATGTTGGTGCGTTGTCGGAAAATACTTTTTTATGTAGTCCACATTTAGCAACAAGGCGTCGGAAAGCCAACAGAAAAGATTGATTGGTCAGGTCTGGGACTAAATCGAGAGAAAGGGCACGGGAAGAAAGGCAAACCCACAGGACTATCCAATATTTTTTGGTGAGTGGCTTCCTTTTTCTCTCGGTTTGGTTTGGGTCAAATATTCGTAAAGGCCCGCAGTAATCAAGCCCCACAGAAAGGAAAGGGCGCAATAATTCCACTCTTTCGGAAGGTAGTGGCGGGAAGGGTGGTGGGTCAAATGGTTTGGCAACAAATCGACGGCAAGGCAAACAGGATTTATAAATAACTTGGGTAACGATTTTTCTCCCCTTTGGTAGCCAATATTTTCTTCTAACCATTGAGAGGGTTAAAAGCGGGCTGGAATGGTGATTCAATAGGTGATATTCATAAACAATTAATTTAGTAAGTGGGGAATGGGATGGAAGGTAAATTGGCTCAATAGTATTGTCGGGAAGGTTACTGTTGCCAAGCCTGCCTTTGGCTCTCAAAATTCCATCGTTGTCAAGAAATAGGCCCAAAGATTCGTTGTCTTTATCCGGTGGCGGTAATATTTGTTGTTCTTGTTTAATTAATAGGGTTTTTGCCAGGTAGATTTCAAAATATGCAGGAAATGTTCTGTTGTAGTCAATATTGAATTGTTGAGGAAAAATTTTGGCTTTGGGACGTAATTTCCATATAAAACGTAGGGAAAAGGCAAAAATCCGTAATAATTTCGGGAGTCTGGAAAATAACGAAGGGTCTATTGTCCGGGTATTCATTTCGGTCTGGATATGGAAGGTCATGGCAATGTTTGGAGAAGGTAATTTTGGCGGGTCATTGGAAAAGAAAGGCCTAATTTCGGTTTGAGGCCAGGATTCAGTGGTCAACCAAGGCGGTCCATTCCACCAAACTTTTTGTTGTTGTAGTAGTTGGGCATTAATTAACCCACGGGAGCAAATGTCGGCCGGATTGTCGAGGCCCGAAACATGTTGTACCAATAAATCAGGAATTTTTCTTATGTGGTTTAGGCAATTGGAAACGAAAATTTCATTGGTAGGGTTTTTTCCGGTTAACCACCCTAAAACAGCAGAGGAGTCTATCCACAGAAAAAGGGGTACGGTAATATTCAGGTGGGACAATTCTTTGTAAACATAACCAAGGGCATTAGTTCCTATTTTTGCCGCGATTAATTCCAGCCTGGGTACAGTTAGTTTATTGTTGGATTTCAAGGGTTTAATTTTAGTTTTGGAAAATAGTAAAGAAACCTGGGACATTTTGGAAATCGGATTTAACGTACGTAAATACACGGCACATCCCATAGCAGACAGAGAGGCGTCTGAAAAGCAGTGTAATTGGTAAATTCGGTTGTCAACAGGTAAAGTTGAAATGAGACGAGGAATTTGCACAGTTCCAATCTGCCAGTCGTTAATTAGGTTGTTCCACGAATTAATTAATTTTTCAGGTAGTTTCTCGTCCCATGTGAGTTTTTCAGACCATAATTTGTGTAGGAATAATTTCAAAGGTAAAATAATAGGACTAATATAGCCGCAGGGGTCGTAATGGGAGGCAATAAAAGAGAGAATAGTTCTTTTGGACAATTCGGTAGGAGGGTTATGGGTTTCCACAAATAGGTAATCAGTATCGGTTTGCCATCCAACGCCAAGAAATTTCTGTTTTGGGCCATTGAGTTTATCCTCAAGGGGAATATGGTCAATCGTTTCGGGAATATTGGAAATAAATTCACGTAGTTTCATGTTGGCAGTAGAAAATAGTTCAATTAAGCAATCACATTTTTCTTTGGCCTCTAGGACAGTTTCAGCTCCAAACAAAATGTTGTCTACGTAAATATTTGGTAGTATGTCTTCAGTTAATTGTGATGAATTTAGTCGTAAATGGAATAAAATAGTAGCTGCCAGTAAAAATGGGGAAGGAGAAAGACCAAATGGTACCCGGGTAAATCGGTAAATCTGTAAATTTCCGAGGGTTAAGGGTTCTTGAATGTTTTTTAACCCCAAAAATCGAATCGAGTCTCGATGGTTTGGGTGCACTGAGACTTGTAGGAAGGCTTTTTGGATATCACAAACAATGACTATTTTTGGTATTCGCATTCGGAGGAGAACACCTAAAAGTTCCGGTAAAATCACGGGTCCAGGGTGAAGGCAGTCATTGAGAGAAAATGAATTAGGAGAGAAAATGAACTTTTAATTATACAAATTCTAATAAAATTATTTTTAAGGTTAGATCATCAAATCGAAGTCGGCGTTTAGCTAAAAATTTAATAGGATATACTTCTCCATTCTTTCCCTATTTTTCTTCATCCCAACAAGATTTTGAGGATGATAATGAAGATGAAGGCATTTTAAAAATTGGAGATGTTTATTTAACAAAACATTCAAATCTTTCTTCTGTTCAAATTATTTTTCATTTAGTTGGAGATGATAAATTAGAAAAAGAAGAAATATCTTCAAGACATCCTTGTGTTGCTGGTCTTCATAATATTGTTAGATTATCTTCTCGTTTTGCAATTAGAAATATTTCTTTACCTCTTTTATTGGTTGATCAATTTAATGACGAGGTAAATAAAAAGAAAATATAATTATTTTTATTAAGTAAAAAAATATCTTTGGAATTTTTTTCAGAATTTTTGGTGAGACAAAAAGAAATAGTAGTACCAAAAATCTTTTTAATTTTGAACGTATTTAACTTAAACCTATTTGACTCAAATTTTTCTTAAAAATATCTTGAGAGAATTTATCTGCCTTTTCTCATAATTTTAATTTCCTTTGGGAGAAATTAGTTTTTTTCTTTTACAAGTTGCCAATTTAGTAAATTATTAATATTTTTAAAAGACAAATTAAAGATCAATTTTTACAAAAAATAATTTAAAGAAATTTTTCACTTTTTAAAGTTTTTGTCATCAGAAAATATTAATATAAATATTTGGTGTCAATCTCGTGCAGAACTTGTTTTTAAATGTTTAAAAGGGTTTTTGATGGAAGTTTGTTCAAGCGGATCAAGTTGTTCTTTAGCTGGAGGTGCTAATTCTGGACCTATCCAATCTTTACATTTTAATATTAATTTTGCCATAACTTTTTCTAAATTACTTCCAGATTCTTTCTTATTTCAACAATTGACTGATTTATTTACTTCTATTTATTATTTAGTTCCTTCTTTAAATGCTTAAATTTTCTTTTAGAATTTTCTTTTTTAAAAATCAATTATCATATGTATGTTTTTAAGCATATTTTCTAAACTTTAATATGTTTCTAATTTTGAATGAAATTTTTTTCTAAATTTTTCCTCCTTTTCGACATTTTTAATAAAATGTTTTTTTCCTTTTTTTGTTTTTTATTAATTTA